GAGGAGAAGGTTTTCAAATCTGATTTCAACCATTTTGTCTCCCATTGGAAAAAAAAAAAAAAAAAAAAAAGTTTTGTCAGTAGGTCATGTTGGCTGCTATTTTGCTACCGCTCAAGGGTTCTTGTCAGTCAAAATTCTCAGCAAATTTTACTGGTTATTTCCAAAGTTGGTGCGTGAGCTCAGTGCATTTTTTGGATGATGAAAAATATTAAAGATTTTTTTTTAAAGATGTAATTTAATGATTATGGTTTTATTTATTTATTTTTTTACATTTGATTATGCCAAATTTTGTCGCATGTGAGTATTTTTTTGTCAATGGTTTTCTATTCAAACCAAAATAATACTAAAAATGTCATCCTAAAAATGAAAAATAAAATTGTTTTCAATTTGCTGCTATTCTGTTCATTGATTTTGCAGGCTGGAATTCACTAAACTGCTCAAGGGGGGGACGACACTTTGTGAAGAAGCTCATGTTGGAACGTGCAACCCTCCGACATGCACTTAAAATATGAAACACTCATGAAGCAGCGTTCTGGGTTGTGCAAATTGGAAATATAGGTTGAGGCATGTAAACTTTACAACATTAACGACGCCCAAAATTGCCCTTCATTGGGTCGTCCCCTCTAAAAAATGAGGTCGGACGTGTCGAGTTAAACATTCTCCAGTCTTGTCTTTGATAGCGCTCCCGTCCAAATTTAGACCTCACGCCGATCTTGCACATATCATATTAAATGTGACCTAGATGATGATGATGACGGATGTAAACGCAAATATTTTTCGACACGCTTAAACCTTAAAGGGGAACTCAACCCCCAAATTTTCTTTCCAACAATATGTTGGATGTGCCCCCGTTGGGAAGGCTGGCCTTACACAAGCTGAGTTTCAGAACGGCACGTTGGCCAGGACGCTTCAAGGCTTTGAATTCGACCGTGTGTTTCGCGAGGAAACGGTCACGTGCTGATGTTTTCCTTATGGCTTTCCTCAGTGATGTATTACTAGCTGACCGAGTCATGTGCACTCATACTTCCATGTGGGGCATAGCCCTCGTTTTTACCAAGCATAACAAGTTCCATTGTAAAAAAAAAAAAAAACGTATCACACCCCCACTTTTTCACTACGCATGCCCTCCATTGTTTACTGCGTGACATTCCACTTATTTTCGTGTGACTGGCCAGCCTCTTTCACACTCTTGTAAACACTGGACAGTGATGTCTTGCTTTCCCCATTGAAAGGAATGGAAATGCCGTGAATCCATTCTGTATCTGACGGCATTCCCGTATAACGAAAAGGGTCGGAAGCGTGGCTCACTTTCCTCTTGCTCACCTGTTATTCTCCATTTCTTCATCAGAGCTGATGTCAATAGTGAACATGTCCTCGTCCTCTGAGTAGTCGCCGCTCTCCTCCCTCTTCGGGCTGTCTATCCGGGCTTTCCTCCTCCTCTTCCTTCGTTTTTTCATCATCATCATCGCCGTTGTGCCGGTCTCGCCGCTGCTCCCCGTGGAGCCCAAGGTCTGCACGGGAGGCCCCGAACTCTTCGCCATCAGCGAGGAGCTCATCAGAACGAGACCGTCCGACATGATGGGAGAGGTGGCCAGGTAGGAAGGAACCACTTCCTAGTGAGATCAATTCATTGCATGCAACCAATCAGAGACAAAAGGCATGACAGACGAGGTGTCAATCATTTCCTTTTACCAGCAAAACCTTGAACCCGTGTGCTGAGCTATTAGCTTAAGCTAGCTTCAGGAGCTTTGCTGAAACTATGCTGAAATATCAAACTCCGCGGGTGAAAAGATGACCTTCTCTTGTTTGCTAACAACTGGATAAAAGATTAGCTTGTAAACAGAAGTAGAGCAAATGCCCCTCAGGAAGATGAGACTATTCAGAAGCAACGCGGAATGAACAACATTTCTGCTCAAAAGGCAAGTTTATGAATTCTTTTAGACATTGAATTCATCGTAGATTCCCAAAAATGAAATTTAAAACCATTAATGTTCTTGTAACATGACGAAATCATGCTACCAGCATGTCAACCACGGCTAACATTGGCTTTTTTGCAGTGCTAATGCTAGCTTAGTATTAATAGCTCCGCTGTTTTGTGGAAACAGGAAGTCACAGTCCAGTAAATTGAACAGTCGATTGTTTAATGTATAAAAGGTTATTTACACGAGACAGTTGATCTTTAAAACATTCTGAACACAGGACGTCCTCCTATCCCTTGAGACGTGAGTTTAGCATGAAGGCAACGGATTAACTTGACCATCTTTTTATAAGTCTGTCGTCGACTGCTACATTAGCTTTCTTGAGCTGCCATATGCTTGCCATTTGTCATCAAAAGTTAGAAATCTAGAAATGCTGAGAATTCCATGACAACATCTCAGCATGAAAAAAAACCCCCAACAAATTGTGGTTTTGCATTTTATCTAGCTTTTGTATGCATATTTATGGCCATTGGCGTGATGAGCAAAGATGTTCCTTCTTTTCCTAACGTTTCCGAGTACAATCTGAACTATAAAAAGCAGCTGGAAAAAAAAGCAGTCGGCTCCGTGAAAGTAGAACCCTTTCCAGGAGCTTTTACTGTAGCTCCATATTGTGTGTCTATATCTCCTGGCACAAGGCAGCAAGTAAGGTCGACGACAGATGATGTCGTGGTGCGTGTAACCGTAGTCACGTTTTTCGAAAGTAAACAACATGGAGAGTAGGGGGGGGGCAGTGGGGGAACCTCCTACTTTCCTGCTCTGCTTTTCTCGAGCCGGAAACCTAACACTTGTCCGCCTGAAATAAATCACCGTCTTCCCTTGTTGATGACGTTCCTCCGTCTCGGTAGTTTATAGCTTATTTATGTATTTTGGCAGCACATTCTGTCACGTGCATGGGAAGTCCTCATACACCCGCCACGGCCCCCCCCCCGACCCCCAACGGGCCGACGCGCACACGCCAAAAAAAAAGTCTGCTTTCCAAGAAATCGGGAAACTGCCTCTTCTTTTATGTGTTCCATGAACTTGAGTTGTGATTGGCTTCCAACATTCTCCGAAGACTTTCCACTGAAAACAAATGTACACATGACACGCCGTCGAGAAGAATGTTGCTCAGAACCAAGCCAAATTTTGACTGTTTAAACACAAAACCGTCAAGTGCTGCATCCAAAACGAAGTGTGGAAATTGTGAAAAATCAAGCTGTTTAGTCGTCACTCCAGTGCTGTGATCATGTCCGCTGAACGTATAGACTCACCTACCGCTCAACTGTTAACTTGTCAATCAAACACCTCTACAATGCTTTGTCGAGCATTTTTCTTGCCTATATACATATCGTAACTACATGTTTGAGCCGCCCAAATATATCCGCTGAAAGCTTCTGGCGGCTTTTCCACGCCGCAACAACGAGGCGCTCGTAAGTCTCCACGCCAGAGCGGAACCCTTGTCAACACGCTGGCTCTCACGTTGCACTGATTGTTCAGTTATGCTTTCTCACTCATCGGGTGGGGGAGGGGAGATGGGCGGCACACTTTCAGCCAAGCCCCCCCGCCCCCCAAAAATCAGAAAATGGCGGAAAAACAGTTCAATGCTACATTTCTGGAACTGATCATACTGTTGTCAGCCTTCGCACGTTTTCAGCAAATATCTTCCAATGTGTACGAATCGTTAAGCGGGGGTCATTAAAATAAGGGGATCGCAAAAGATTTATGGCCTTACTGCTCCTTGAGTATAAGTAGACGCTTTCTGGGAAACGGAGGAACGTGGTCCAACTCTAAAAGGAAAAGCGGAAATTCCTGGCGGCCGTGCCAAGTCCACATACATATGCGGCCTGACCTGATTTCTCCAAACCGACTATGTGTAAAATATTTGGGACTGCGCGTCAGAGTGTTTGTGATGCAGGCAAGTGTGTGTGTGTTTGAAATTAGTTCGCAGCTTAGACATTTGAACCATTTTTTTGCAAGCATTTTGGGGTCGCTAATGCAATTATGTGAGGGAGGCAAAGTAGGTAAACAACTCTTAGTCGGATGTGTTGCAGTTGGACACCCCTGCAAACTCCAGCCAATTGAAGACCGTAAAAACCTCCTAAGGTCGCCCTTGTGTATGAGACTGGACTGTTTCAGAATTGTTTGTAATTCATTCCTTTGTTGTGTGTTCACAAACGCCCCCATATAATTTATTTTATGATTTCCTCGCTTGATTTTCTGTTTTGGTGCATTATGTTCTCTTTCCTTAGTGTCGTTGAAGTGATCATTAATTTCCGTTTTTCGGAGGCGGTCTTTGAACGCCTCTCGAGTCGAACGACAGAAGAGAAGGCAAAGTAGTCGAACGTAGACGTGTCTGTTTTTCAAGACTGTTAATTCAGTACCAGCCAATTCTAGACAAAGTCTGAAAAAACGTTTAAAAACGTCTTTGGGAGTGAATGAGTTAAAAGCGTAAATAAAGTGTACGTTTTAAAAAAAACAACACCATAGCTCTCCTTTTTTTCGGAGCTGCAACACTTGCTCTATTAAATGCCGTGCCCTAGTTAAACAAGTCTCATCTTACCTTGACACCTGATATCCAAAAAAAAATATATGTGTGTAGATATATA